CCTATAAGTGTGCAAATTTGAAAAAACGTATATATCGCGCAAAAAGGTTTTTTATAATAATTCTATAGTTCGATACGTTGACTTTTTTTAATGTAAAACCTTTTCAAAAGAAAAAAATGCTTAAATGTTGATCTTCAAAACAACTTTACTTAGTTATTTTTCAAGTAATCGATCTTGGTTTACTGTAGGATGTTTTTGTTTTTGAGATATTGTGATTGATGTTATTTAACACGTTATTTAACGGTAGACCTAAAGATTCTTTTTAGGGTTTTGGTATTTATTACAGAATATTAATTTTCAACCAATTCAGGCAACGTTATGTAATAAAAATAAAACACTGTTGTTTTCAAATTATTAATGAATACATTTAAACAAAGTCAGTTCACAAAGCCATTGTTTTGGAAAGACGCGCAGGATTTTTCTGAACACTTTGAGATAAAATTTAACCCTAATTTAAACTGTGGCAATCGTTAATTTTGATGTACAAATTATTTATTTAATTAAATCATTGTAAGAAAATCTGCCCGTTTACTAACATAGTCATAGAAGGGAAGGAGGTAGAAATTTCTTAAGAAAATCCGCGAAAATTGTGAAAATGTTAAAAATTTTGCCCTAAAATGCCTCCTAGTTTATTGCTTTTACCATTAGAGGCGTTGCTTATGCCGTTTCTGTCGGGGATTGAGGGAAGTTCAAATTCTAAGTGGTAATTTATCTTGCTGACAATTTTTTTCATACACTAAAAATCCCATTAGCCGCGGTGTTTTTGTCACTATCATAACAGCGACAAAAGTTTGTCCTAACTATTACAGCGACAAAACTGAACCTAACTTTACACCTTATTTGTTAAGAAATTAGTGATTTACGTATTCATTAAATTGTCTTACCGAATTACACTCAAGCTTTTTTTTACGAAGAAAACTTGGTATTATTAATTCGAGTTTTGTTTCCTTCAGGCAATTGAACTCAGAAACTGTCAGAAGCAGTTTTTTTCGTTAAATTACCAGAAAACAAAATTCTCACTAAAATGTTACGTTTACTTAAAAAAAAAAGCTCTCGTATAAGTGATAAATCTATAACGTGTTTTAGATGGGTTGATGACCACCACAAGTGACGACCAAACGCAATCCGTAAAAATTGTTAACTCAAATATTAGCTTGGGAATAGGTGAATCAGTATATGTTCGTATTGCTCAATGTTCAATTTGTTCAATAAACTTAAGATTAAAATGTGGCAATGAAATTGTCAATAAAACAGTACGATCTGATGAAGGACCTCGTTTGGTATTTAGGACAGAATATAATATGATAGTATTTAATATAAGTTCAAAAATTTTGTAGTTCTTTTCAAATAATTTTTTTCTCTACGGATGGAACGAAATCGAATTGTCACCGCCATCAAATAACCATATTCAAAGGGTCAACTGTGACTTACAAATGTATGGAAGTTACGATAATATCACACCAGCTGCCGTTACCAAATTCTGGAGAACAACTAATCGTAAGTATACAGTGTGAGTCAATTGTGGTGAATTACTGAAATAATGGGTAAATTTGAACCGTCCAGGTTAAGCATTCGTGACCGTTCGTTGCTTGAATGCGTCCTGTGTTTGAAAGGTGATTTTGTTTTAATTTCGATTACCGCTTTAAATCGGTAAAATTATTAAACGATAATATGTGATCCATCTGAAAGTTCACACTTCAGTCAACATGAATCATTCCTTATTCCTACCGTCTAGGCTGTGTTTAAAACGATTTAAAGTAATCCTCTTGAATTTGATCTTTATGTAGGTTACGTACAATTGCGAGCATTAAATTTTGATAGGTAATGTCATTTTGAAATTTTATCTTTTAAAAAAGAAATTTTCCTGTATAGTTTTGTCTGCTGTCAACGTTTTTTGAAAAATAAATATAAATGTCAAAACACCATGCCAAAAAAAATTGACAAATATTTTGTTATGGCGCCAGTCTCTTACTTTAACAAAGTGAAAATAATTACCATGCTGGAAAGAGGATTTTCTGAAGTTGAGGTAGCTGATCAGTTGTTGAAAGAAGTTCCGTTAATTTGCATTTCACTCCAGAGCATGTTATACATAATACATTTATTTATACAACTCTTCAAATTTCCATAGCCTACAAAAAGAATATACAGGGCAATTCAGATAATCAGCCTGACGATCTGGCGATGCAACCCAAAAAATAAATTTTATTTACGTTTTTGATCCAATTTAAATTAGGATTTGCAAGTTAAATTCAAGTTATCTTATGTCACTCTGACGTGAGTGCAGAGAACGATCATTAGTGCCATTCATTTTTCGCGGAATGATAGAGAAATTAGAGAAGTCTTTTCGGTGCAAACCCAATACAAAATCTACCCAATACAAAATCTACAGTGCGATCAAAAAGTCTTTCGATCAAGTAGGCGTACTATTTGAGCACGTATGTCGCTTGGAAGTTTGTATGTCAGCTAGATGTCAAAAAATTATAAAAAAATATATAAACGAATGAAACATTAAAGGTAGGCAAACAGTTTTTTTACAAATCATAAATTGCTTGTCAAAGCACTGTCAGAGCAACATAATATAAATTCGATTGCGAATGCAAATCTTAATTCCAATTAGATCAAGACGTAAATGAAATTTGTTTTTAGGATTGCATCGCCAGATCGTCAGGTTCATTATATTATCTGAATTATCCTGTATTATAGCAATGACTATCAAAATTTAATGCTCGCAATTGTACATGAGCAATAAGGTCGATTTTCTTAAACAAATTTTTTGGAATGACACCAGTTTGTATACCGCGCGTTGCGTGACCTCACAAATCTGCAATCTATAAGCAGGGGTTTCGGAACTCGCGCCTCAGAGAAAAATGCTAAGTAAGATTAGATACCAGTGCAGGAACATGGCAAAAATGTTAAAAAAATCTGCCTGTCAAAAAAATTGTCACTTGACCTTTTTATGCCTCTTTAATGTTACTGATGATCTTGTATGATTTTTCATAATTATTCAGTAAAGGTGCAAAAACTTTGCAAATAAAAGCCACAAATAACATAAACAGACTTACAATTCAGGGTACAGCTTCTTTGTTTCCCCTTCTAGCACCCTGCAGTTACATACCGAGGTGGGAGGTGCTTATTACCAAAGAGAAATTTGATAACCAAGGCGCGAAGCCGAGGTTGTACGATGAAGCAACGACCACCAAGGTGTGTATTCA